CTACTTACTACCTACTACTTACTACCTACTACTTACTACCTACTACTACTACTACTACTACTACTACTACTACTACTACTACTACTACTACTATACTACTACTACTACTACTACTACTACTACTACTACTACTACTTACTACTACTTACTACTACTTACTACTACTACTACTACTGCTACTACTGCTACTACTACTACTACTACTACTACTACTACTACTACTACTTACTACTACTACTTACTACTACTACTTACTACTTACTACTACTTACTACTACTTACTACTACTACTATACTAACTACTACTAACTACTAACTACTACTACTACTACTACTATTCCTACTACTATTCCTACTACTATTCCTACTATTCCTGCTCCTGCCTTGGGGGGTGGCTTTGCCACAAAACTCTACCCCGCAAAAGGCGAAAGTTTGGCGAAAGTTCAGCTCAAGATTGGCGAAAGTTCACCCTGCCACATCTGACCCCCAGCCCATTATGAATAAGTTTCGGTGACCGGCTACTTCAGTGATTCTTGCATTTTTGACTCTTGCTGACACCCAGGAGAAACAAAAGAGACGTACAGGGTGTCAACAGTTAAGTAGAAGACACATGCTGACAAACAGTGAAATTTCTATTTTGTGTTTGCCAGTAAAGAAGAAGCCATTGACGTGAACAAAACACAACATACATGGCACACATAAATACAACGTACTTCGGCGAAAGATAAAACGCAGGAAGGCGAAAGTTTGGCGAAAGTAAATTTTTTTTTGGCGAAAATGACGGATCCCGGATAAAGGAATTTAGATCAACTCCCACATGTAAAATATGCTGTCCATTCGGAACAAATACTCTATAGTCCTCCCCGGATCCACCTTCCGAACCACCGAGACGGACTTCATTCCTTTGGCGTTGTACGGGGATGGTTGTCGTATCCATCAGGCTTCTCTTCAACCAGGTCGCTATACCGTGAGCGTACCTGGCATACTATGTCGGCGCCCGGGTCGGTACCGGAACCCCGTCGGTACGGTACTGTGGATCGTTAGGGCTCCGATGGTGTCTTCGGCTGCGTCCAACACGCCGACGGACCGCCAGACACCAACCACTTCGGTGTTGCGCGACGAAACCCGAGAAGTTCTCTCGTGGAAGAGTGGAGGATCCCGGAAGTCTACCTGTGGGGTGGCTGGAATCCTGGAAATACAGAACATTGACCCAGTCATTGACTCTATATGTTCTAGTTGCGCTAGTTGTGTATCAGAGTGGCCCGGTCCGAAGCGGACTGAAGAGAGACGACCCGTCTGTGTGGATGAAAGGTCCGATGTTCAGGGTCTTGGGACGAGAAGTCGATGCTTTGAGCCCCGAACGTAGGCGTCCGATCGCTCCGTGCCTGGCGATGCCAGGAGCCCCTATTATAGTAGCTGCTATAGTTGTTCCTAGGGTTTCGGGTGGGAGTAAATATGCTCTTGTTAGGCACTACCCTCCCCCCCCGCGGTGCCTCCTGGAACCGTTCCTGCCCACGTCAAACCGTTGCCGTTGAACTGCGCCGCTCTTGCCGTGCGTCTCACCGCTACCCTCTCAGGAATCGGACCCCAATTGGAGTCGTCGAGTGGACCTTGAGGGACGCATCTATTGGAGCCACAGGCGAGCGGCGCAAGCAGTGGACCAGCGAGCGAGCGTGGGCTGGCCTGTGGGGGATGAGACAGTCCTTTCAGGCTGATCAGGGACAGACAAGGATGATTTTTTTTAGAACGGCAGTTCTCCTACAACCTACTACTATTACTAATCTGCTACTAGGAAGACGTTGTGATTTAAGAGTTCAGTCACTGAATGTCACTGATGTCCAAGTTAGGTTGATGGATATGGTTGATCTTACTTTTGCCTTGGATCTTTCCAGTCGGCTGCTCCTCCCAAAAAGGCCCTTTGCGATGCTGTATTGTAATATGTTATAGGAGATCAAAACTCGCGAGTATCGGTGCACTCTTGCGGGGAAACTATGTCTTTACACTTGACTCACATACCAGGAGCCTCCAAGGAGTGTCTATTTATAGCCCCTTAGCTGTTAAGGAGTGTCCCTGGTAGGTTTTATTCGTGTGAACATTGTCGTGAACCTGTTCACATTAGAAGGCGACCTCACGAAGCCAAAGAAGGATCCCTGGGACCTGCAGGTGTGTTTCAGATGTGACATGTTATATATATATATACACCAGGTGCTTCCAACGGGTCACAAATGGACAACCCTACCCTACCGATAGGTCCCCATTGAGCACCCATTGGAAGTGTTAGGTGTATGTTGACCATTTTGCAAGTGTAGCAGCTCATACGACAGCCTATTATGATGGTCGTTAGACATTTTGGTATTGTTCTGACTGTATTGTTTTTTTGGGAAGAATTTGCAGCAAGTGGCCGCATTCCCATTGATGAGCCGAGCGAACCAAAATCAAGTCGACAGAGTCTGTACCATTTGGTTGGCCAAGCAGTCTATCATCCAAAGATTCAAGAAAGGTTTCAACTTGTAGAGAATATCATTCAATCTGTTAAGAAAACACACATCAATGTGTAAAACATCGGTATCACATGACATGATAGAACCTCCGCCACCGGTCATGTGTCCGGCCAGTGGCGGAAGCCTCCGGCAGGGTGGACCAAGTGCGTTTCTACGAACCGGCCATGTGAGTGCCACACCGGTGTGGCCGAGTGGCTATCCACGTGGCCGCCGCAGTGGTCACTGCGCGACGTGGGCGCGACGTGACCTGCGCGACGTGTCAGGTGTGAAAAGAGGAGCTGTCGCTGTCGAAGAGTATGTGGCGGAGAGTATGTAGATGTATGTAGAATTCTGTGCCTCAAGTGTCCTATTTCTATGGCTTGGTAATGTAATCCCTTGATTATAATCACCACCCCCAACAATTGGAGACGCTAGAATAATATGATGGAAAACCAATCAATTGATGAACACATAAATCATTACTTAGCTAGCTCTGGAGCTTATCTGGCAATACTAAAATGAAAAGAATCAAAACTGAAGACATTTGCAATAGTAAAATGACAGGAATCAAAACCTATGAAGATATTTGCAATATTAAAAATTACAGGAAAATAAACGACACATTAAACATCAATAAACAACAATACACACATACTTTCCCAAAACATATCCCTCCCCCAAAAAAAACTTTATTCTGGGGCCTTTATTAATCAGTGCAGGGAAATTTGCTGACATTATTCTGGGGGCCTCTATTAATCAGAGGACCGCATTAGTTGCTGTACCTGGGAGTCAACATGCCTGCTGAGCCTTGCTTATTTAGCCACCTCAAGACATTCTTCGAGTGTGTTTTGTTGTGGCAATTCTTCTGCCCTAGGGATCCAAGTACCTTCTCAAAAGGTGATGTGTTCGACACTGTTACGTCGGTTTGGAGTCCAGTCGTATCCTCTGAGAAGGTACGACTGGATCCCTAATCCTGGCCATTGAAAATTGTTTGGGCCTTATTTGGACCAACGGTTTCACTTCCACCTGCAATCCTGTCGATGGTCTTCCTGGTGTTTGACTGACAAACCAGTACGCGATCAAAGCAGTTGTAGTACTCTCTAAAGCTGCACCCTTTGCTCTCGAAAAGCAATGCTGTAGTTTCATTGAACGGTCGAAGGAGATTCCAACTGTAAAGATGTATTTTCATCACCCCAAAGTGTTCAACACGTTTGTTGTTTGAAGAAAAGGAAACACACCATGACAAACCTGAAGCGTTTGGCAGGACAATCTTGCTCCTCACAGCAACCCACGCAGCTTCCTCCTAGGTGTTGGGAACCCTTTTTGTTCCAGGTGCTTGCAACCTATAATTGGAGCCGGGAGGAAGCTCTGAACTGGTCACTCTTTGGATGTGGATCCAGACTGCCACCCTCCGGTGCCGCGAAGGTCCTGTACCGAACCTGAGGTACGGCAGGTGGATCCGTGGATCCACAGAAATCTATCTATTCCTGAAAGGAGCTGCAATTGCCCCCACTTGAGTTGTGATGAATCTTGGGACAAAAATCATGCTGAATCGGATTCGGAGGTCCAACTGGAGGGAAGGTGCCTCAGAACGTTCACACTCGTTCACACTCAGTAGACTCAGTAGACCTGTTCTGAACAGATCGTCTCAACTGAGATGCCAGGCATCTCTTCGCTTTCGACATCGGCAGAGAGATCTCCTTGGTGGATTTGCTTCTGGGCATCATTTGGACTTGGGCAAATGCGTGGACAAGAATGCAACACTCTGAAAACAAGGAGCAAACCACATGTGTTGATTGTAAGGTGAGCTGTCCAACATGTTCTATCTATCACATAATGATGACCTGTTGCCCACTTTGTGGCTTTACAGGGAACATTCACACCCCTTCTCCAAACAAACAGGGTCACCTCCTGATTAAATTCGAGACATGCTGGGGGCGTGCAAGTTGTTGAGGTTCAACAGGCAGACATGAAGAAGGTGCGCACTCATTTTAGAACTGGTTCCGGTTCAACCGATTCGACCATGCAAACAGGACACACTAAAATACCACAAAACCCCATCCAGCGAACCAAGTTCATCGATGTACCTGGAGAGTGAAATTCCAGTAGATCCCAAGGATGAGGATTTGAGAATCGTTGAATGCAGCGAATGACCAGTCAATCCACATCCTATCTGCCCCGTGGTAATATGGCAATGGGTCAAAATCCAGACTCCCAATCCCTGGCAGGTTGACCAGTTTGTTCATTTTGGGTGGGAAAAGCCAGGGTCCCCCTCTTTCCATCCGCAGCTATATATCTATGACCTCAATGCGTTCGAGAGCTGTACTGGCCTGGCCTGCTGCGTGTGGATCACAGATTCGACAAAAAAGAACAAAAGTGGCCCAAAGAATCAACCAAAGTAGCTGTGTCCCAGTACATTCTCGGACGGCTATGCGTCCTGTTGATCTCGTGATCTCGTGGAATCCAGATGTCATGCTGAAGGATTTCTTCCACCAAACTCGAAAAATACAAAGGAAAACAAGACCACAGAAGAAGAACAACAAGAACAAGAAAGCAAGATCAGTCAAGGTCCTAGGTTTAACCAGTGAGGGAGCGATGAAGGGGTTTTACTCATCTTCCCTTTGCGCGTCGCGGCCAGCTGGAACCTGGGTTTAGAGTTCCCCAAGCGGAACAGTCAGTGACACAGTCTGATATATGCTATCCCCAGGGCTCCTGGCCCATATCCTCAGGTTCGGTGGTTAGACACCCCTGGCACCCACCCTAACCACCTTCTCTGTAGTTTTCCTAGCCGTAGGGTATAGAACCTTCAGAAAGGAGGGATTTGAGAAACACCAGGTATAGAGACTTCGAAGCACCACTTCAGGTGGTAGATCTCCTAGGCTTCCCTAAGGAGGGAAAGAAACACTTCAGGTCCTAAGCTGGGCACCCTCTCAGCTTTGAGATTTGCATCGCCAGTTTCCGCCAAAGAGCGGAGCCGTTTGCGCGCCATGGGCGATGAGCGTGCCAGCGAGGAGACGGTACAGAAGGGAGAGGAGGTCCCTTTGTTGTAAATGAAGCAGGGTGGGGAAATCAGAAGCCGCTTTTGCCCGTGTACTGGGGCAGCGTTTTCGGCAGTGGTTGGGGCAGTGCTTGGCAGTGGTTGGTGCCCTCTCATGGTACAGGTTGACATGCCCGATGATATTACATTGAGTCATTTTGATCCATTTGCAGGTGATTTGTTTCCCAGGACAAAGCTTGTGTTCAAAGATGTTCACAGTGAACGACTGCATGTTGATGTTGTCTCTAGCCCACTAGACTTGGGTGTTTCAGATAGATGGATTGGGACCAACAGTGCCAGTGGTGAAATGAGCCACAACCCAACTCCGCCCCATGGAGTGTTTGAAAATTACAACCATCCAGTAAGTAATGAATTGTCTACCCAGGTACTTACCCAGAGGCTCAAGAGGCTCATGCAGCCTCATAGCTAGGGTGCTGACCCTCACAGTTAGGGTTTTTGACCTCAAACATGTAGCAGTTGTTTCAGGTCCAGGGCGGCCTTTGGGTAACGCACCGTGCTGCTTAGCTTCCCGCTTCCAGGTGCTGGAGGAAGTGCGCCATGCCATGCTGAACTGGATTGGAGAAAACAAACGCCGCTTGGAGCTTCAGTCTATATTTTCCAGACCCGACCTGTTTGGGACTGGCATATTTGACCGATCAGTTGGACCGATTTGAGGTGTCATATATGATCATGTATGTATTTGTATGTATATATGTACTAAATCTTTCAGTCCCATATGGAGTGTTTGGGTTTGGTGGGAGCCACTTGGTCGGAGATGTTTGCGAAGTATGGGGAAACTAGCGAATTATGGGAAGATCGGGGAGATCTTTGGGAAGTCTGCGAACCTTCCAGTGTCTCTTGCATGATGAAGGATGCTTCAAAATAGTATCTAAGGCTTTAAGGGGTCATTTGGGGTCATTGATGGACCCTAAGGCCCTAAGGCCTGGAGTTTCGAGGGCTTCAATGGATAAAAAGAGGCCCACCCAGACCCCAAGCAATACCCCACTGAAAACTAATCATGGAACCTGGAAAACTACTGGGTTGTAGAAAATCCGTACTTGGGTGCCATTCGACCCGGTTCCCATGAACGTCTCGGGGGTCGAGACGGTGTCACCGACTGCTACGCTTCCGACTGCTCGGCCTCGAGGTCTGGAGGATTTCCGCTTGGTCGAGCGCGAGGTGCAGCTTCTCAGCAGCCGCTTGGTCTCAGCCACACGCCGCACCACAGAGGTGACGAGGCGCGGCACGGTCCGCCAGGTCCGCTTGGAAAACCGGTCACAGGGCGCCAGAGCATCGCCAGGGCGCCAGGGCGCCAGGGTGGTCCGTTTGACCAGCATGTGTTTGTTTCTCCCGATCGGTTGCCTCTCGTGGCAGTTGACCCGGGTGAGCTACGAGGGTCACCGGGTGAGGAAAAGAGATCAGATGGATCGTGTTGAGTGAAATGACCAGACCCAGTGAAGATCGTGTTCCTTAAGACCTTCTGAGTTACAGACCCTAGGGATCCAAGTATTTCGTCAAAAGGTACTTGGACCCTCCTGGCACCCACCCCAAACACCTTCTCAGAGGGTACTTGGATCCATAGGGATGATTACCTATACAGTCAGTGGCCCAACCTTCTGCATGGGGGACACCCCGAAGATGAACCCAAACAACTCGTGATCGCCGATCGCTAGCGCCGCTATGCCGTACGCCGTGCAGGAAGGATGATTCACTGCCAGCCGCGTCAGCCGATGAGCCACCCGATGCATTACCTTTTTCCCTGAAGTGTGGCTGAGTTCCACGGGGTTCTGAATCAATGAGTTCCAGGGACGCGACGAAAACATCGAACAAAACCAAGACGAAGGAACTGCACCGGTGCGCTGTGTGCACCCCGATATATACTTCCATCTACAATTGTCTTTGACAATTACACTGGAATATATTGAATCATTCAACAATCACTGCTTCCCATGGTTTGAGGATAATTTGGTATCTTATCTTAATCAGCAGAGTGGACCCGAATGATAGTGTCTTCCGGCGAAGGCTGGCGTCATTCCTTCCACCAGCAGGATAGTCTTTTCCCCACAGTGTTTCCCCACAGTGACTTCAGCAGTGCGTAACGTGAACCTCTGTCGCTCGACTTTGTAATGCAGGGTGCCCTCCTAGTGATGAAGTATTAACAACCATATGTCTCTTTTCCGGATCGACAGATCCACCCTCCTATTGCTACGGGCGTACCGTACCTGTGTTTCCTCCACAACCTGGCGGAGTGAGCCCTGAGCTAAGCTCCGAGTGAGCTTTCTACGGCAGGTGATGAGTCGGATCCCCCCCAACATCAGGCACCTCTGGAAGTCTCTGGAAGTCGGACATCAAGCTTGGAGACGGCACGTGCCGTCTCCACCCGCGATCCAAGACCAGGCGGCTGTGACCCGCCGGCGTCCGCCCGGTCGATCGGCGCGACCGGGCAAACGACGGGCGCCGCCGCCAAGGCTTGAGGCGGAGAGCTCCCAGCCGCCTGAGCCCAGCGAGCTGTGCGAACGAAGCTGGGCGAAAACGGAGGGTCCGACCGTGGAAGGTGAGGTGAGGAAGGAAGTCCTGCACTGGGAAGGCTTTTATTGTGATATATGATGATATATGGTCACCCGTTGGCCTTCCAATTCAGGTCTTTCCAGATGTCACTATAGTGGCCCTGCTCTGAATCTTCACCTATCTTCACTGTCAACTGTATACTGTATACTGTATACCACATGACGCGTTCCGCCCATTCTGCCCCACCACTCTCTTCTGCATGTCGACCAACGGCGGCCGGCCTCACGCAGACCTCGATGGATCGAACAGCCGAAGCGAAGCGAAGCGAAGCGACGAAGGGAAGCAAGAAGCGACGCGAACATGGCGCTACTGGCCTTACTAGGAACTTCAGAAGCTACTGGCCTTAGTAGCGATGCAGTTCAGAGGAAACCCTTGGCAAATATCGAAGAATGGCATGAAGGATGTGGTGGGCCTCTCCATGCCGCCCGTGGACCTGCTTCGGGCGACCGACTGCGCTCGCTCACCGAGAACGAACTGCCGAGCCGTGTGGAAGATGACCCGACCTTCTGCGGTACATGGATCTATGTTGCACTTGTAGGAGTTGATTATACCCCAGGGCTCCTGGCCCATGTCCTCAGGTTCGGTGGTTGGACCCCCCCTCGCACCCACCCCAGTCTCGAAACGGAGGTGGGCCAGGAGCCCTAGGGATATGCATTTCATCCATCAATAGCTATGTAAGGGAAGCCGGGGAACTATCACCTGGATGTATGGATGATTTATATATGTATCTCTTGTGCAACACCTGAACAAGTTTCTCCAACAGCGCAGAAAGATGACAGGCCAAACAGCGAGTCACCATCTTCAACTACCATGCCAGCATTTTCAACTGCAGATTGATCCCGAACAAAGCAAAAGTGATCCACGGTATGGGTCTGTGAAGATCACAGTTTGGGTCGCGCAGCTTCTCCGAGGATATGCGGAAGAGCAACTGCATCCCGATCGCAAAGCTGGCGAGCATTCGTGGGCGGCCCCTGGAGTGTTTGGTCCATTGCAACCATGGATTGTCAAGTTGGCTCGTAAGCCACTGGGATGCCGGGGAGAACTTGTTGGCTTCCATGTTGACCTGGTGTTGGCACGACGTTTTCTTTTATTTGCCACTTCAGCTCTCACAAAGCCATTAGAGGCTTTTCTAGCATGGAGCGAGCCAAACGAGCCGCAATGGTACTACTTAGTGCGGTCATGTGCGGTCACGAGTGATGATCCAAGTGTCACTACTGTTCATGGCTTGTGATGCATCGGATTCCAAGGCAATTCGAGGAACTCTCCTTCTGCTATGGCTTGCGATGGAGGTCAAAAAGCTCCAATGGTGTGGCCACTGGGCTTAAACATTTCATCCGAGCGGAGGCCTGCTGCTGCTTGAACTGTAGGTGAGGTAAAGCCAAATGGATGCTAGGATATGCTAGGTATGTATAAACAGAGATAAACAGCATAAATCCAAGTTCCTTTTTGGGGTATGTGAGAAGGTTTTGAAATCACCAACAAGTGGAAAAGGCAATGATTGCCATGATAACGATGAGCCAGGTTGTCGAACGTTTTTGTCCGGAAGGTCATTGGAGACACTGTTATGTAGGTTTGGAGGATCCAAGTACCTTCTGAGAAGGTACTTGGATCCCCAAGGTTTGAGGGACAAACCCAAAACTCTAAGCCCCGCCTCATAACCCTATAGAAGAAGCAATGAGAGCCTGCGATGTGTGATCAGCACTGCAGCACTTTTTCGACCGTATGATCACCACCTGAAGACCTTCAGCACCACCGGTGCCAAACGGTTTTTGTACAAACAAACGATTCCTTTGGAGTCCTCCAACCCTATGGATGCAAGTACCCTCTGAGAAGGTGTTTGGGGTGGGTTTGGAGGGTCCAAGTACCTTTTAAAGAGGTACTTGGATCCCCACGGCAAGTATAAGTCGTGCTCCTTCGTCGGGCCGTTCCGCATGGAGCTCGAACGCGTCGTGGGTGTTTCCCGCGATGGGCCTTCGGTGCGCTGCGGTCCGAGCGAAGGACTTCCACTGGGTGACCTTGCAGCTCGACGTGCAGCGAGGTGAGCTGTGGGAGACATGGCAGCCCAAGCGGAGTCCCAAGCGGTTTGTCCCTAAGCTGGGAGGTCTTGAAACTACATGGTGGACAGGTCAGGCTCTAGGGTTTTCACCCATCCACATTCTGACGCACAATTTTGGGGGGGATTGGGACTCTTTTTCCATTTGGATTGGGATACCACCCCACTCAAACACAGGTGCACAGTTCGTTCGTTCGAACGCCGAACTCTTTTTGGGATCGAAGCGGCATCGGGAGTGATAAGCTGCTACAGGAACAGTTCGAGCAGCTAGGGTTGATTTGGGAAGCCTGATGGAGAGGTGTGGATGATTGGGGGGTGGAATCCATGGACAGCTTTGGGTTTTACTCTTCAGTCGTTTAGAAAGATATCCAACAAGGGTAGTAGGTTCAGAAAGATATCCAAAAAGGGTAGGCCTATCACGGGATTCTTGAGATCCTTTTATCATAGAACCTCGAGTAATAACAGATCCAGAGGTTCAACAAGGTTCAACTGTTTATCCACCAAAAACTGCCCAACCCCAAAACCTGCACTTTTGAAGTTTCGTCCACAGATGTGAGAACCAACCATACTGTAGGACACCGTGTGGGAGAATCACATGAACCTCCAACCGGACCGCCCACACGTGGCGCCCGAAAGCGGCGCGACCCGAGTTCGGCCGAGGAACCTCGGCGCCAGCGAAGCGCTCCGGTCTCGGTGCCCGGCAGGTGACTCCGAGCAACGGCGGTTGGTGGACTTCGAGGGTCATCGCAGCAGCGATTTCCGAAAGGATGAGGCCATGCACTGCGTGGACCACGAGTTGGTGCCTTGGTCAGTGTGAGGTGGTTGACTGGTTGTAGGGTGAGGGTTTTGTTAATTTTTGGGTTGGCACCCCCCTTCACAACACAGGTATACCTGGGACTTACTTAGTGGGATATTGTTCTATATGCACTGCAGAACAAACAGAATCGTGGAAACGAAACGAAGGACCCTTTATTGGGAAAGCTACATGACTTGGTCTTTTGGCTGGTAACCATCAGACAAGCACCATATATCGGTATACGCCTTGTACGGTACAACGAGCACCTGCGCAGGAGAGACGAATTCACTCCAAAATGCCGAAAGCACATCGTCCTTCATCCCCACAGGTCAAAAAAACGACCTCATTTAACGGGTCAGTAGGTCCCAGCAGAGGTTGAAGAACCCTATAGGCTATCCTATAGGTGCTTCTGTAGTGTCCTATAAGGTCACTTGACCTTTGTTGGTCATGCAAGAGCACTATGAAAGACCGGAGCTTTGACTTGGACCACGAAGGACTGGACCTATAGATCCTATAGCCTATCGCGCGACTGGACCTATCGGTCAGCCGGCAGTGGGCAGACTGGACCTATCAGGTCAGACTGTCAGACTAGACTTCTTTTCGGGTGCGTCGCTTGCTCCTCCGACGTCGGTTTCGAGGTGCGGCACTTGCACCGCTGGCTTTTGCCCTCGCTGGCCTCGCCAGTGCTCCTACTGGACCGGGCGGGGCGAGGAGTTGGGTCTACTGGGGAGTTCACCGAAGAGAGCCATACGAAGCAAGAGTGAGAGTGGAGTGAAAGTGGTAGTCCCCATTCTCGGCGTGACCCACCATGTTGGAGTGAACAACGACCAGTCCACCATCGTGAGGTCCAAGACGGGTCCCACCAGGGACAGTGCCATGACTCATGGCCACTTGAACTGAACATGCATAGCATATTACGGTGGTTTCAGTTTATATATGGCACAGACCTCAAGATGTTAAGTACATGGTTCATATAAACCACCTCTTGGGGGTTGTGCCCTTCGTCCTCCCAAATGTTGGGTATTGAATCATCACCCCCCCGCTTCGGTTGAATCATTTAGGGTTCCTTGTCCGAAACGACTGGAGTCACGCCAGGTTGTGAGTTCGGATGATTTTGCCCACCAAAACGCCTGGTTTCCACACCTGTGAGTGTCAGGCAATGTGAGTGTCAGTGGGCAGATGCACTGATGCATCACTTGGACCCAAGCCATTTTGGACCGTCCTGGTGAGGGCATGGACCGCTTGGTTCGGCCGCCGGATTCGGCAGGTCGTGACGGTGCCGGTCAACTGACGGTCCGACCAAATGGGTCGACTCGATGTGGACTCCACAGAGACCTTGGTGGTGGACTCCACCAATGGTTTGAGAGTCTGACCATTGCTTCTTGTTGCTTCTTGCAGTTTTTGGTTGAACACACACACAAAGAGAGTTTGTATGGACGATCTGAATGGCACAAGCCCTGAAACCTGGGTCAAAGAAACCTAAAGGGCACACACTTGAACATTTGCTGAGGACATGAAGGACATGAGGGTGCTATATCTGGAGACACACACAACACATAGCATCACATTGCCGTTTAGCTGATTCACCCAGCATCACATAGCCGTTTAGCTGATTCACATAGCATCACATAGCATCACACACACATAGCATCACATAGCATCACACACACATAGCATCACATAGTCATTTTTTGCCACGCGAGGACTTCCTCCTCTCCTTGTTATTGGTGCACTCGCCGGTGCCCTGCAGGACGGATCGGCTAGACGGAGGGGAGCGACCGGTGGCCAAAGCGCATGAGGCACTCCTAGTGGCACTCCTAGTGGCTCTGGGTTGGCTTAATAAAGTATTCCAGGGTCCCTGTGGGTTTGTTTGGACTAATAAGTGGAGTAATGTGGAGTAATATTTGCATATATCTCCTTTGCCTGGTTTTGCTGTTCGGGTGATTTCTATTTTCCCTAGTAGTAAACAAAAGAGCGCGGAACCGAACCCGTCTACAATGAGGGATCCTGCGGTCGACCATCGGTGCCCTTCATGCGCAGGTGCCTGGAGGTCTCCAAAAAGTGATGTGGGCCCTTTCAGACTTCCTCTGAGGAAAGGGCGACAGATCCGGGAGCTTTCTTTTCAGGGCCGACTGGGGGGGTGCTCCTTCCAACTCAGGGTCGATGGTTCAGCCTGGGAGTAAGGTCCCCTCAGAAGACCTGCTCGTGGGTGGTTTGCGCATCGTTGCCATCATCATCATCACCACCAATACCAACACCATCACCATCCTGGTTATCACTAGGACCAACATCACCAGCATACCTTTGTAATTATCGTTAGCTTCAACATCACCACCCCGCCATGTTCAGACGCTTTCTCAGAGGACATGCACAGGAAGAATCCAATTCCTAGCCGTCGCTAGCTACCGTTTGGAGACGTTTGGAGGCATTTGAGCGGAAGTTTGGGAATTTCCTTGTTTCAACTAATACTCAGACACTCCATGTATGCCATATTATGCGTACATTGACCCCCCTAAGCCAACCCAATGTAGGCATACATGGCATACATGGAGTGTCTAGGATAGCAATAACATTGATATATTAATGAACAAGAAGCAGAATCATACAGCACAGACACGTGTTCGGCAGTCACCTTGACCACGTCACATCGTTACCAACAATTATATTCATCAGCGTCACCACATCACCATTGTGATTACCAGCCTCATCCTCACTGTCGTCACCGTCATCACCATGATTATCATCATGGTCATAATCATCATAATCATCACAATCATCATCATCATGATCATCATCATCATCATCATCATCATCATCATCATCATCATCATCACCGTTTGTTCATCGCTTATGATGGTGTCAAAGATCATGATGTTGAAGACGATGATGATAGAATGCATGATGGGGTGACGATGATGGTGAGGGTATGATGGATATGATTCTGATGGTGATGATGTTGTTGCTGATAAGGGTGATGGGAGCGAGAGATATTAACGTAATCACCACCACCACCACCACCACCACCACCACCACCACCACCACCACCACCACCACCACCACCACCACCACCACCACCACCACCACCACCACCACCACCACCACCACCACCACCACCACCACCACCACCATAGTCATCATAGTCATCATCATCATCATCATCATCATCACCATACCATTACCAAAGAATGTATCCCGCCAAGAAGTACCTACTAAACTATATAAATATTTTACGGAGGGTGAACTCTTTGTGCCAATTGTCCCTACTCAAGCTTTAAGAAATTCCTCCAACAAGATAAAGACACGTCCCGATGAGCCTGGTCACATTCCCCGGTCCTCCGCAGCGGTGGCTGGAAAGGGTTTGTGCGATGTTCTCCAGGACACATCTTCTTCAAGAGATGCTCAACGAGGCATAACCGGCGAAACGGAATTTCCGCAGACGTGGAACGGATGAGGTGGAAAAAAGTGTCTAAGCCGCATGCATTCCTCTTGACCACTAAGAGAACTTGGTCGGTGCTAAAGAACCCTTGGAGCTTGTGCCGTCTACTCTGAATTGGTACTAGTCCCATACACTCCATGTATGGAATATATGCCTACATTGAACCCCCCAAACCACACCAATGTAGGCAAATATGGGAGTCCCATGGAGCATCTGGGAGTGGGTTCTTTTAGTTTGGTACAGCTGTGAAACAAGATACACTCCCGAAAACTAACATGGACCCTGAGAATGGCCCCCCCTGGAAAAGTGTTTTCCTCTACCAACCAGTGGTTTTCAGGGTCCATGGGATCGTTTTCCAGGGTATAGTTTGCGGGGTTGTGTTCGTTCCCTTGGTCCACTGGCTGCTGCCTTACGTTTTTTTCCGGTCGTTGTGACACCCTTGGAATCGTGGGGTCGTGGGGTCGTTGAAGCAGAATGGATCGTTGGGTCCCACCATATGGGTCAAAGAGTGAAGGGAGCGATGCGAAAGCAAAAGGCATAGGGGGTCGTCCGCGAGGGGGTCCCTCAAGAAAGACATGTCTAGTAGCAGACAATTTGTTGACATCCTGTTTCTTCATGAAGGAGACAGAAGACAATCCTTATACCAGGACCCTCCAACAGGCTGTTTGGAGACCCTAACAGGTGGTTTCTGGGTACCTGTTGTCACCAGGAAGCACCTTTGCAGTCGGGTGTTCTTGCTGGTGTGATGTTTGAAAAAACACCGGATATGTTTCCCCGACGACTTTTGTGTTCTTGGTGGCGTGGTTTTATTTCAAAAAACACACTATATAGATTGACCCACGGCATCCTTGTCCAATAATCTTCAAGATCTTCTTTGGGCATCCGCCAGGAATGTTGGGCTGCGGAAAGCGACTCCGAACTCTTGGAGAACCTCTCCATCCAGGACGGCCCTGTTGGCCCCAAGGATGCTCTGAATCGGTTGCTACAGCTTAAAGGAGTTTAAAGGAACATCTACAGGAAACCCATACCCAGGGGCGCCAAGCACACTCTGAGAACGTGTTTGGAATGCGGTTCAAGGGCTCCAATGAAGTATTGGAGACCTACAAAATTAGCTTTCGGATGTGAATACACCATGGTTGTTTGTAGATCTTCCATGGTTCTGAGATTGTTTTGAACTCCCAGTGTGGGGGCCATGAATGCATGGTGCCAAAATCCTGCATTGGCATTGACCCCTGAAATCAACCACTCCTGAAGCATTTAGAAATCCTTGTCCCACACGGGGTGTGTGGGTTTGTTGTGATCTCTTTAGCGGGGGCTTGATGGCAGCACGCAGCTGATTCAGCCCATACATGTGGCTACCGGGTCAGGATTTGTAGCCTAGTGGCCTAGTTCAAGCTCCAAAGGCGGCATGATTGACATGTCTCGAGTTGACGAACAGAGGGACAACAACAAAATGCCTCAGACAATCCACAAACGCGTGTTCGTCAGTGGAACTATCCTTCCGCTCAGATGCCTTTGGACTTGCTTCTCCCTTGTTTTCCCAAGCTGACAGTCTTGGTGTGCTACAGTCCGCCATCGTGGGTTTGCCTCACCTCACCGTTCTTTCATCAAATTGGTTTGACCGTTCCTTTTTGACCATCGACAGGAGGATGCGATAGATTCCTTGACTTGACGCTCGGCAATGTTTCCGTTTATGTTGGGATGAGCAGTATCAGGTTTGGTGAGGTTGCCGCAAGACTTGATTGTCGCTTGTGTGTTAGTTTGTTTTGTTCATAAGAATGGTTTTGATGTAAAAGTTCACTTGTATATTAGTAATAATATACATGTAGTAGTCTCAGAATTGGCAGTTACAGTTTCAGGCATTGATCAACATGTCAATGATTCTTCAAAACAGTATTGACGCAAAAAAAGCAAATTATATATTCTTCCTTGCAACATGTATCCTACTACAGGTGGCAATCAAGACAAACACGGGCAGCAGGAGGAAGTGCAAGTGGATTCAATCTCCGGATAGACAAACCGAGCAAGAAATAGACAATCATTGCTGCAGAGCTGGCAGATGACCGCTTCGAATGGCATGGGTAACCATGGCAAAGATGCTCAAAGAAGGACCATTTTTCATCGAGTTGCATGAGCACATGACCAAAGCGGGAGTTGCGCAGAAAGACAAAGGACAGTTTACGTGCACCTGACAAAACGGACAGCATTGGAAGGGTTGCTATGGAATTGCGAGCAACACTGTCGGAGCAGCCCCGACCTCTTGTGTGTGCCAAAACTGTCGGCACTGCTTGACTCATCGGACGTGCTGTGGCACGACGGTTTGGAAGAGACCCACATGGACCTTCAGAGCCGGTTGTAGAGAAGAACAATCTTGCAAAGGTCCAGGCCATGCCATCAGGTTCCATGTTAATCTTCCCCAGTGTAGATTGCTTGCAGCCTAGTCTTAGTACATGGCCAGCGTGGCCAGCCAGAATCAAGCGAGAGACAAGAGGATTTCCATGGATTGACTATCACGTGGACAGGGCTGAAGAATGGCCAAAGCACTGCTTAAGGCAGCGAAATGCTGCTGCCGATTACCAGTTGACTCTTTGACTACGCTGACTTCAATGCCCAGCCTCAGATGCAACACTCAGTGGATGCGCTAGTCCTGCCAGGGGTCTAGAGTCAGTTCGAAGTCGCCCAGCCACTCATGCAGTAACAGCTCATTGCACCCATGTCACTCGGGCTTTGGCAGCCAGAAGCACAATCTCGGCAGCAGACAGCTACAGCAGTTCCACCTGCATGACATCCAGGGATGAAGGTCAGGTGGGTTTTCCTTGGATGAAGCGTCCGCTCCACAAGGAGACTGAGCTTGTACACCACTGAGTTGAAAAATATGGTCACAGGTTTGATGCCTTGCGTTGCTCAAATTGCTAGTCAACTACACCATGAAAGGACTCAAGGTGGGTTTTCACATGGCTGTGGATCAAAACTCTGAACCCTGTAATCAACCCGTGAACAGCAGCAGCATGTTGATGGAAACCTCCTAAGGTTCGTCGGGTGAGGTTTCGACCCGCAGCCACTGTTCCATTCTGTTCCATTCAGATGTGACCTGGTGACGAAAATAACGAAGCGACCAGGCCGAACTCATGTAGTAGTCGCATGTCACGTGTTTAAGGGAGTAGAGGGTTGCCCCCGGTAGTCGAGATCGACTTGACCGGCTGGATCCAGTTACCACCCCTACGGCTCCAACTACCTTCTCAGAAGGTGACTGGGGTGGGTGCCAGGGGGGTCTAACCACCGAACCTGAGGATATGGGCCAGGAGCCCTAGGGCACTATCCTAGTATCACTTCGCCCTGGTTCGTTCGTCACATCGTTTGCA